GCTGGGAGGCTGTTTATCTCCGTAAGGGGCCTCTGTGCTCCCTGCTGCCCAGGGGGTTAGTGCCCAGAGATCTCCAGATTCCCTGCCTCTGGGCTAAGTGTCCTCTCCTGCCCCTTTAAGACTTCCAAAAAGCACTCCCCTTTGCGAGGCGCTGGGTTCTTGCAGGTGTGGATGTGGTCTGGATGTTGTCCTGTGTCCTCTGGTCTCTATTTTAGGAAGAGTTGTCTTTGTTATATTTTCATAGATATATGTGGTTTTGGGAGATTTCCGCTGCTCTACTCACGCCGCCATCCTGGCTCCACCCCTCACCCTGAAATCTTGTGCCTTGATTTTTAATATTTTAGAGGAAGTGAACAAAACTAATTTTTCTTCCTGCTTGTGCCATTACCAAATACCAAATTTTGGAAGAATTTCATTAGGCTGCAGAGTTTGAGCTGTTACCTCACATCAAAACATTTTTGTAAATAGAAGATCTAACTTTTCTAATCCCCTAGTGTCTCACAAGATTATTCTTTCTAATTGATGTTAATATCCAGAACCTGAAACCAACAGGGAAAAATAAAAAGTGATTTCTTTTTTCAGTAAAGGTACTCAGGCCTAATTGAATGTGAGGTTTCAAAAGACAGCACCCAAAACGAATCTCTGTATCCTGTGGAATTACAGTTTGAAGAACTGTATAGCCCATCATGTGCCACTGCTCACACTCTAAGTTAAAGATATACCAAATTAATTGCATTTATAAAAATATCGCACAACTCTCACATCTGTGTACTTCTATACATACTGTTTCTTCTGCCTGGACCAATTTTTCCTTTGATTTGGCTTTACCTTCTCAAGGATGCTTTTCCTTGGTCTCAATTTGAGCAATTCTGTTTCTCTGTCTGACCTTTTGCATACTTTATTACATAAATTACCACATTAATTTGTTAATATCATTCCCCCAAAATATTGCTCATTGAAAAAATAAAGGACACTGTCTTTTATCTGTGGTCTATTTGCATAATATAGTGCCTGCCATAAACAGGTGTTCAGTAAATATTTGCCAAACGAATGAATGAATAGTAAGTCCTTTTTTTCAGGAGCCTAGCAGTAGAAATTAACATTCTGGGCAGAGTGCTCCTCAATTCATATTTTTTCTTCGATTTCTTGTGTTCCTTTGTCTTGATAAATATACTCACTAGACAACTGAGATACTGAAAGCCTTTCAAAGCTTTTGGAGTACATGTGTTAAATAAACCTAGGAAGTCTCTAGTTTTTATTCTGCTATTTTGAACATATTTTTATTTAAGAAGTCACTGCCAATCAGTTATCATTTGAAATGCTTTATTTCTTAAAAGTAGTCTTTTAATTTAATTCAAAAAATTTATATCCCAAATTAGGTATTCTAGCTTCAGATTTAAAACTCATTTTTTCTAAGGACAGTTTCTTTTAAATACACAAAGGAATATATTTTCACAGAGTATGTTGAAAATTAGGAAAATCAAGGGTTCTGGTTCTGTCAGGTGCAGTGTTCAGAGTGTTATTTTGATAAAATCCAGTAGCTCTGATATGGCTTGAAAATACTTGCTCCTTTGGAGTATAACTGCAGGGAAAAAACTGTGGCATAGGTAAAAATGCACCATAATTACTTGAGTTGGTTTTGTACATAATCATCTTAGGTTTAGATAGTGAGGTAGCTGTATAGAGTGTTTTTGGATCCAACATGCATGAAAACACAGGATTGCCAGGATTCACACAAGGATGCAGTTGTTCAGGTTTCATTTCTGTGTCTGAATTTGAAGCTGAAGTACTTTTCTTATTCTAAAATATAAACACAACAAATCATTCTTAATTATAAAGATCTGGAAAAAAACTGAAATTTAGTCCCAACTCCATCTTACACCACTCACAAAATAAACTCAAAATTAATTGAAAACTTAAATGTAAGACCTGAAACTGAAAAACTCCTAGAAAATAAAAAAGGGAAAAAACTCTGTGTTGTTGGTCTGGGCAATGATTTTTTGGATATGGCACCAATAGCATAATCAACAAAAGCAAAAAGAAACAAGTGGGACTGCATCAAGCTAAAAAGCTTCTGCACAGCCAAGAAGCAATCAATAGAATGAAGCGGCAGCCTACAGAATGGGAAAGAATATTTGCAACCCATATATATTTGGTTAATATCCAAAATATACAAGGAACTCACATAACTCAATAGCAAAAATATGTGATTAAAAAATTATCAGAGGATCTGAAAAGACATTTTTCCAAAGAAGATACACAAATGCCTAACAGACACATGAAAAGGTATTCAACATCATTATCAAAGGAAAATGCACATCAAAACCCACCCTGGCTTAATTTTCTCAGAATAATTACAACCTGATGGGATTTTCTAAAGTTGTTACTATATGTAGACTATTTAATAAATTTCCCCTTGAGATTGTATTATATTGCTTGATTTGTTCTCAAAGCCTTGCAAATGGTTAATCTTTCAAAAATTCAATTTTGTGTTTCTAGTTGGGAAAATCAAATATAAATACGAGTAAGAATTTTTAGGCATATGTGTAAGATAAATTCTAGCCGAAATAAGCAGGCGACAAGAGGCAACAAAGGGCCAGGCAGTTTATTTGAGCGCAATTCCCGGGTGATATTCCCCCGTCTGGCTATCACAGGCCGGGAAGTAACGCTCAACAGGGCAGGTAGCGAGTTTTTAAAGAAGGTAGGGGGAGGCAGAGCTTAGATTTACAGCGCCACGAGGATTGGCCAGCCTAAGGCACATTTTTCAGGTTGGGAGGGGGCAGCAGCTGGGGACTTTGGCACGTCATCAGTGTCTGACGTGCTCACCCCTCCCCCCAGTGCCTTCAACATTACATTCCAGCCTTTTGGTCATAATGGGCAACGAGTTGATCTGGTTACTTCTGGCTGACAAGGGGCATTGTGGGGGGGATGGTGGGGGGGTTCACAGCATGTAGTTTCATTGCTCTGACTGCAAATATTTTGCCTTGCTTTTTCCAGAGGCTCTCACCCCACTTTGTCTAAGCTTATGGTCTCTGTCTTATTTTCTCCTCTACAGACAGAGACTCTAGCTGCTGCTAGGGAAAAGGGGCAATGACCATTCTGGCTGCTTCATGCTGAGAAGGGGCGTAGTAAAGGGTGCAGCTAGGTTTCTATCACTGGTCAGTGGAGAGGGCCTCGGAAGGTTGGCGCTTCTATTCTGGAAGGACAAACTTGATGAGATTAAGAATGCATGGTTGAATATGAGAAATAGAAGTAGTAAAACTTTAATTGAAATGATAGGAGAAAACTAAAACATCTGGAAAATCATAGCCAGATATTTTGAAGAAGCTAGAATTCTGAATCTAGTTTATGTTTCAATGACTAGTATTAGGATTTAGTATGGATAAGGCTGCATTATTGAAAATATTTTTCTCTAAAATCACCCTCATTTTTATTAGAAGTAACCAGGTTAAGAAAATAATTAACAGTTGGCTTTATTATTTGTATAAATGCAGCAAGAAGAGCAATTGATTATATAGGCTCTTTTAAATATGCTTTGCTGGAACTTTTTGTAAGGAATTTCAGATTGAACTTTTAAAGGCCTCTCGAGGCCAGACAGCCAAGCCAGACTTGCCATCAGGCTTTGCCTGCAGTACCTGTAGATTTGGGTGAATTCTTCTCTTCTCGAGGTCCCTAAGACATCTTGAGGTTCCTGCACCTCCCAGGAAGTGACCTTCTTTACTCACCCGGTAAGGCTGCTGGGAATTCTGTAAGCAAGGTACCAGGCTAGTTCTTCCAAGGGGCTTTGTTGGCTTTATAAAGTCAACCTTAGTTCCTTAAAGCTGTTTATATCTGAGTTTATGCATGTGTCTCTTAGGTATGACATTGTAGTCAAAGCTTTGGTAGTATAACCTGTGTTTTTAATTGGTTTTAAAAGGAAAGCAGGTTATTATTGAACTTATGCAAATAAACATACTGCCATGAAATATAAAAATAGTCACTGAGTTTTTAAATTCTGGAGGGATCAGGTAGAGAGAAAGATAAAGTTTCAATTCTGCTTATAAAGACAGTCCTTTACTAAACTGTTGTCAGCTTAAGAGAAAAAGCTAAAACACTTTATCAGCAATATCTGAAACAAAAAGCCACAAAATCATCATCTTTAGTTTACTTAATCCTATGTAACTAATACTTGTTCTGCTGAAATCTAGTTCTTTACTAGTTTAGGAGTAATAAAACAGTAACTATAAATGACAAAAGATTTACAAATGACAATGGTTAAAGATCTGATGAGAGCTTACTATAAGACAGTTGACATAAGTAAATTCAGATATTTCTGTACCACAAAACATTCAGTAACAAAGGTTAGCATCATTTTTTTTGACAGTGCTTTGCAGGTAATTATATATCAGATAAATAAGCTAAATTAGCTAAATAACTTTCTTCAATGAGAAAAAATTTTTCTGACATGTTTCAGGGGCTTTCTGGAAAATATTAAAGTTAACTCGAGGTAAAAGTACTTTTTAACTGAAAACAAAATTCTAATTTTGCTGTGTACTTGATACTGAGACCCATTTGCTTTAATTTTATATAACATGGCCATGTTAAATCTTTCCACAAGCTTTCTACAACTTTCCTTTTACATTCAGTGTTCTCTCTCTTTAAATAAATAGCTGTACTTTAGAACAATTACTTTCTTTTACCCTCAACAAAATGAATTTCTATTCTTTATACTTTCTCTTATTAAAACACATCTTTTTTAGCAAGTAGAGATGTCTTCTTCTTTAAGTAGCTTTAATTAGACCTTAAAACCATTAGGAACCTTAATTTTCAGTGAACAATGAGACGTGAGCTATGTAAACCATTGCACTAGCATTCTTTAGATTAACAAATTTATGAACGCACTTTATAATTTCTGAAACCGTGTGCTTTACAGCATAATTTCTAAGCACAAAATGTCTACTTAACTTAGCAAAACTTCAAGATTCTAGGTCATCACAAAAATTCCCAGGCTGCAGGCAGGCACACACACTGCAACATACAATTATTAAGGTGTTCACTCATTTCTAACAACTATGCTAGATTATTTACAAAACTTTTACTGAACATTAGACAAAGTCAAGCCTCCAAGCATTTTATTCTTGAAAGATTTAGCAGATAACATCAACTTAAATGACTTTAGGTAAACTTAGGCAGCTGACAACCAATAAGGACATGTCTATTTCAGTTTAACTTAAATTAGCATTAATGCTTAATATTTTTTATCAGATTTTCTGGAAGTTTTAGAATGCCCAATTTTTACAAGCGCTTGTTTTTAAATCAATATTTATTAATACCATCTGGAGGTAGGAAAATATTTTTCATCTACACACCTAGACACACAAACATACAAACTGAGATACAACGACTAGTCAGCAACACTTCTTACACAAAAACATATACGGAGACGGACAAACTGATATAAAGGCACCAGTCACTGATATCTAATTGCCTTCCCTCTCCTCAGCTTCTTGTCCGTGGCTTCTGGAACTAGAGGGTGGGAGGGGCGTGTTCTGGTGGGGGAAGAGGGCGGTGAAGGTGGAAGGAGAGGGGGAGGGGGTGGTGCAGCCACTGGAAGAGGAGAGCAGGACAACGGCCTGGTTGAGAATGTAGGACTTTAAGACGGCGGCAACACATGTGAAGAGAAAGTACTTAGAGATGGTGGTGGAGAGAGGGGGAAGGGATCGCAAGCTGAGGGAGGCAGGCGACTGAGGTCTTCTGGCGGATCTGAAAAGGAAGAAGGACTGGGCAGAGTAAGAGGCTGACAATCTTTAACTGGAGATTGGGCCAGGAGAATCTGAGTCTTTTAACACTTAACATAAAGGTCTGGGCAGGAGTGCAAAGTCCAAAAAGCCTGCACATATGTGATTTCACCCCACTCTCCACTCTGGTGGCAATAGTCAAGTTGGTGAGGAGGCTAAAATTTAAAGTTCCCTCAGGGGGCCAGCGAGGTTGGTTGTCCAAGGGATACTGAGGCCCGGCCTCAGAGCAAATAAAGACTAGCTTCTGTTTACAAACTTCCCGGAATAAATATAGAGTAGCCAGATTAGAAATGAGACACCACAACGGGGTCTGAGCCTCCACTTTTGATGGCTGGTTCCCCATGTCTGTGCCACTTCCCAACTAATCCCGCTGAGAAGCACCCAGCATCCCAAGTGCACCAAGTCAGGGGAGACAGCCTGGGAGCCTGGGTGAGGGATGTCTCCCACACCGCAGGGCCAGGGGTTGGGTATCCCGGATGCCCGCAGTGGATGGGCCAGATGCCGAGACCTGGACGTATATACAATTTCGGACAGACCAGGTGAAACAGAGTTAGGAAGGGAAACAGACCAGGGGAAACTGAGGGACTCACCGGAAAATAGTCCACGCAGTGGAGAGCAGGCTGAGGTCCCGGGTTGGGGAAGGAGAGGGCAGGGCCACCGGTGGCTGGTCGGGGCCCTCTGCTCATGCTCCTTTCCGGGTTTCTCGGCACCAAATGTAAGATAAATTCTAGCTGAAATAAGCAGGCGATGAGAGGCAACAACGGGCCAGGCAGTTTATTTGAGCGCCATTCCTGGGTGATATTCCCCCTTCAGGCTAGTCACAGGCTGGGGAAGTCACACTCAGCAGGGCAGGCAGCGAGTTTTTAAAGAAGGTAGCGGGAGGCAGAGCTTAGATTTACAGCTGCGCGAGGATTGGCCAGCCTAAGGCACATTTTTCAGGTTGGGAGGGGGCCGCAGCCGAGGACTTTGGCATGTCATCAGTGTCCGAAGTCCTCACCCCTCCCTCCAGTGCCTCCAACCTTACACTATGTCTTATATCTCTTGTGGTTTAAATGTACTTGTGTCTGATTATTATCTTGAAAAAATTAAAAAGGTGTTATTTGTTGAAATGAACTGTAACTCTAGGGGGAAAATCCCTGGGCAAATTACCTTTGAAACTGAAATCAGTCAAAGGGAGAAATAAAGTGCACGAAACCTGTTTATTTCTTATAAGAATCAGTCAAAGGGAGAAGTCAAGTGGGAGAAACCCGTTTATTTCTTACAGGTCTCTCTGGACCCTCATGCGGAAGAAGAGAGCTCCACCCAACCTCTCAGATCCAAATAAGTCCTTGCTTGCCATGTAATTACCTATTAATATGGAGATAGCTATTTCTCTCCACCCTTTGGAAACACCTATTGATATGGAGATGTACTAAAGCCAGGTGAGAGATTCTGGAAATACTGCAATTTTACCCACATGAACCTAAGCTAAAATGTTTTCCCCAATACTACAAAACCATATTCAATCAACTATTCAGTCAACTGAATAGTTTTACTTGAACAGTGTCCTTAATAAACTTTTTAAAAAGTATTTTTCCATGAATAAGGGTTTTAAAAATGTGAATCAAGTACAGTGAAAACACTGGACCCAGCTTCTGGTCTAGACCTGCCAGAAATGTGAACTTGGGTGTCAGCCTCTCAGTGCTGATACAGGTCTAGAGTTGGGCCAGTATTCTGCATTTCTAACAAAGTCCCATTCTATGTTCAAGCTACTGATCCTAGATCATCACACTGTGACTTCTGGGCAACACGCTTGCTATGAAAGATGTGGCTAGAGGGAGGTCAGGAGTTAAAGAGGCCTTTGGGAGGCAAGCTAAGGAGTGAGAGGATTTGGAGAGAGAGAGAGAGGGCCATTATGACATCTGCATGTATTATACAAGAAGATGTCGCACAGACTAATTGGGAAATTTGTATTTGTATACCTCCTACTATAAATTATAAAAAGCATGTATTAGGTGTCACCAGTTCTGGGTTCTGATACTAGCACTGATAATGACTTTTATGAAATTATTTTATTAAGATTCAAGTTCCTTGTCTATAAATATGATAAAGGAGATGGATTTGATTGTTTTTTTCCTAATCAGAAGACTCAGATATTAGGGTTCTCCAAATATAGAAATAGGAACTAGTGAATTTCTGTTATTCAAAAAGCATAAAGGAAGACAGTGAC